GGGGCTAGTGGGAGTTTTCCCATTGGTATTACTGCCTTTGCCCGGATTTAGTCTGGGATACAAAGCCCCTGGTACAGGTTAGGTAAATACTTAATCAGTTGGTTAGCCTGAGCTCCCCGCAGAATTTAAGTCTAGAGCAAATATATTCACACAGATTCTGACCGGATGATGGGATCCCCTCTGAAACTAGATAAGCTTTTGGGGAAGAATAATTTAAAGCCTGTTCCCTTTTTCATCTTTATATGATGCTTGCAGAGGGAAAGCTGTTGTGTGTCTACTGCAGACTGTGTGCATAATATTTTTTTCTATGTGATACAAAAGATTCTGTGTCTTCCTAAAGTTGCAACAAAGAATTTATTCCTAAACCTGGAGTGTAGAAATTAAAGTCTGCATTAGTATGTAGTCAGTGAGAAGAAGGAATGAGGGAAAGGCAGGTTCAAAGAGAAACCACATAATATGAGTGGGAAACAGATAAAAAAAAGAAGTGAACAAGACTGGAGTTTGCTCCCCTCCCTTGAGGAGGGGGATGCTAGCAGTCAGTTTGAAGGAGATGAAGCCTCTTGAACTGCGATTTCCTTAACTAACCCAGATTAAAGTGGTAGATGGTATCCGAAATACTGAAGCAGTCATGGAGAGATCTTTATTCTTAAAAAAAACCCCTATTTCATTAATTGTTATTATCTTTGTTCTGTTATCTCAAGTCACGTTTCAAGAAAGATCTCAGATTAAAATACCATTTTAGCAGTGATAAAGCTGACTCAGCCTTTTAGCCATCAATCCTTTTGAACATGATCTTTAAAACTAAAATATTAGGACACCCTTAGAATAGTCCAGGTTTTCAGGCTCTAGGATAACCAAGGGTTGAACAGAGCAGTTGGAAAGCTGAAGTCATAGGCTGTCAGTAGAAGAAAATATGCACAGACTAGCATTATCCGAGAAGGCTTTCAGGAATATGTGTGGCAGAGGGAACATGAGGGGCCCAAGTAGGATACCTCTGTGCCAAGGAGTGGCTCTACTCCAACTTGTGTGCTGCTTGCTATTTTCTGGAAACAGCCAAGATATGGTTTTGCTGCCAGCAAAGCAGGAATTGGAGTCTCTGTTGAAGCCTCTGTGTGCGTGTGTGTGTTGTTTCCACGCAAACTCTCAGTCTCAGGCTGTGCATCAGAGCAATTGGGAGTGGGAAAACACCTTAGCAGCACCTTAGGGTGAGATCAGGTGACCTTGCACGTAGACTGGACACATGAAATGTGTGGGACATAGCATGTTGTAGTCTCATCCACTAACTGATATTCAAACTTGACTATTAAAAAGTACAAGGTGGGCAACTGGTATTAGAGGGTAATTTTTCTCTTGCTTTGGAAAAGCCCTTATATGATATGTCAAGGCTGAGAAGTGATACTAAAATGGTCCTAATTAAGTTAAGCAGAATACTTGTTCAAATGCAAAATTGAAATGAAAAGTTGCACATCCCCCTCCAGTTATATATAAGATGTGGTTTCAGGCCACAGAGAAAAAATCACCAGGATGACAAGTGCTTGAAACTGCTTATAATAATAAGCTTCCATTTAAGTTACTTCACTTTGTCTGCTAAGTGCCATGAAATTAACTTGTAGAAAGTGAATTCCCAAATTGCCCCTGTACATGTCTATTCAGAAACAAAAGTCTGTACAGAAGAAAAGGTGGAGGAAAGTGGGGGAATTAGAGGCTGAATTATAGCTAATGCCAGAAAAAGAAAATGCTGCCCCCAGTCAGCAGTCTGTCCTTGGTGCCTTAAAGCTGGCAAGAATAATATCGGTTCTGGTAAAATCCATTAAAAAAATCACATTCAAAATAACAAAATCTGAAGATATATCGTCGCACAGCTGGTAACAGTCCCTCATCATTTTGTATGAAAGGAGAGCAGAGTTACTAGAATGCTTGACTCGCAAAATCATTTTCTTTGACTGCCAGAGCCAAATCCACCAGGGCTTTCTTTCCTTCCTTTTCCAAACTTCATCCTGAATTAAAAAAAATACATATATCTATAGTGTTGTAAGACTTCTCCATCTTTTGCTGATAGAGTATACTTAGCAGTTGTTCTGAAAATTTTATTTTCTTTCATGACCTGAAATTTCTTTTTAAAAACACCAAATCAGTCTATGAAACTGGAGGCAGATGCTTAGCAAAATGCTTGTTTTGCCCAATGCCCTGCCACTGGTGGGAGTGCTAAAAGGGTAATTTGACTTATGGACAATCTGTTCAAAGTTGAGCTCTGCATTTGCTGCACAGGAGAAATCTCCCAGCTCTCAATCTTTCAGGCTGATGGACTAATCTTTACAGCCCAGTGGGGCGATTCAGAGATGCCCGGCTTCAATGTGGTCAGTAGCCATCCTTATCTCCAGCCAAGGGTTTGGTGACTGAGTCCATAGGAGAGGATAACTGTGCAGTAAGGTTTCTGTTGATCTGGATGATGGGGGTTGCTGTGTTCCTCATAATGTGTGTGTATGGGGAAGGAAATCCTTTTAGCTACTGTATTAGAAGGCTTTCTTGGAAGAGCTTTGTTTGCACACACCCCAACGAACATGTGATGCATAGTTTGATGAGGGGCTGTGGTGAGAAGATGAATAAGGAATATATGGGAATATATAGTGTGTTTGGGCAGGGGCAATAAAATGATGACAAACACTGTAGTGTAGAGGCAGAGGAGGAGGAAATATATTGTTGAAAAGAAAACGGGGGAAGCAGAGATGACCATGCCACTATCTTAGGTCTTAATCTTCATGTCATACAGCATCTGACCTGCTCAGCTCTCCAGGTGCGCTGGCAAGCCTGACTCACAACACACGGACACCTCTGCGGGGGGTAGCTTGGCTCAGCGCTGGTGTTGCCAAGCCCAGTGCCTGTCCTGCCCATGTGTAGATGCTCTGCGCTCCTCACGGCTAGTGATTACCAGGTGCTCCAGCTGGCTCTGGCACGCTCGCTGCATCCCTGGCACTGTGCTGTGCTGAGGTAACTGAGCTGCTTTGGGACCTGGGGACAGCATAAACACGGCAGCATCTGACTTCATAGACTTTGTTGGGTCTGATGTTAGTCTACCACACTGCCACAGCGAACTCTCTCCCGTTGGTGTAGTCTGCCCACGAGCATATGCTGACTAATGGCACGTTAGCGTTTTCAGGGAAGAGAGAAAGCTGTGCTGCGAGCCGAGTTTAGGCTGAGAGCTATCCCTTGGCTCCCTGATTTGATCCATCACTGTGACAATTTCCTTGGAGCTTTAGAGGGTGGTTAAGATGGTCTTCCAGACCGGTGTTTTTACTGCACCAAGTGGGGTGCTGGTTGAAGCACCTGCTGTTCTTTCCACTGTGCTATCTCATGCTAAACCCAAACCAAGCTGCTGAATCCAAGCCCCATCTTAACTCTTGGAAATTCAGTTCTGAGTTTCAGTTTTACTCTTTGGACCAAATTTTAACTTCAGGAATTTCTCTACAAGCTTGTGAGTACCAGCGAATTGAGATTTGGGTGCTAACAGCAGAACCACAGGTCTGTTGCTTTCCTGCTTGTTTCTGACTCGTACCTCCTCCTGGGCCTCTCTCTGCTGCTGTTTTCCTTCTTGCTCCTTCCCTGTGCGAGTTGACTTCTGCAGGATTTAACTCTTTGTTTTGTCTTGAGGCCTCACTATGGCAAAAATGTTGGCTGTTTTAATGCAAACTTTAGCTAACCAGAGGGACCAGATAGAAGTGAGTTACCTTGGCTTAACAAGCTTCCAGACATCAGCTGAACTGTGGTAATTAAGTGCACTCCTAGCCTGTGTCAAGCACAGGACAAAATCCATGAATGCAGACTTTTGATGATAAACATTTTCTGCTAATGCAGTTTATTTTCTGCCTCTTGTGTCAAGAGCACGCACGCAGATAGGATGAATCAGACAGTGTATAATGTTAAGCCCCAGTAATTCACTTTTGTCTCTGAGCTGTAAACTGGTAAGATGCTGCTGCTGATAAAGATGGAAAGCCAGAGCCACAAAGCCACACGCAAGGTTTGTACACCCTCCCTGAGCAATGCCTGTGGCACCACCGGGGCACAGAGCATATTGCTCGACTGAGGTCTAGAACTGTGGCTGGCAGTTATCGTTAGCATCTGGCCATGTGTGCATTGCAAAATAGGGATACCTACAGGACAGTTGTTGTCTGCTCAATGGGATTTGGCATCTTGTAGCCCTCTGACTTGGCAGCTTCCATGATGCTTAGCAGCATATGGCTGCTCCATCAGGCATGGGAGCCTTGGTGAAAATAATACTTTGTGGTGGCGTGTGTGACTTGACTGCTCTTAAAACAATTCCTGATAATTGAATGCAAAGTTCAGCTTAGTGTATCCTTGAAGGACATTCAACGATTGCCTTTGGCAGCTTGGTCACTTTTCTCTTTTAAATTCAGTCTTAACATATTATTTAATGCAATATTTCATCTATATCTTCCCTTGAGTCCTTCTTCCAGACTGAACCTGCCCAGGTCTTTTTCCCGAGCTTTAGTCATTTATGTTGCTCTCCAACTACAGTCTCCTTGGTTTCTGTCTCTTACAGAGAGCACATTGCCCAGCAGAGCAAAATATTTAGCTTCCAGCTTTGTGGCATTCATGTGCCGATGCACCCGCAGTATAAAACACAGTGGAACTGGAAATAGTTTATAAGAGCCATTACTTTTGTGACTCTTTAAACTATTTCACACTTCATTTGGAAAGCTCCCCAGTGGTAGATGGCTGGAGCGGGCTTGAGGAAAAACTGAAGGGCACAGCTCTGCAAACAACATTATTGGTGAATGGCAGTTCTCATGTTTTTTCAATTTTAGAAATAAACTATTTTATACAAACCTGAAAGAAAGTAGAACAAAGGTTTCTATGGTCTGTACCTTGAAAGTATTGAAAAAGTGTCCTTGAGTGGTGCTAGTTAGATGAGTAGAGTTACACACAGGATTCAGAATTTAAGATTGCAGACATGGTGTTCTCTGTGTTGCTGATCACTCAAACTATCTTTGCAGATTTTCTATGACCATATTGCACGTATCTCCTGCTTGAAATGTTTTTATATCTATTCATATATCATTATATAGGTGTTTGTCTTCCCACTACTGTGGTATTTGGTGTCGATATCTGTTTGAAAAATCATTTGAGGTTGCTTTTTGTTTTTATTTCAATGCAGATACCTTCTCTTATTGGGTTATAACTTTCTTACTCTCGTTAATATCTGTTCAGTCTGTGTAATTAGTCAATATATTCCCCTTTTCTGTGGAGAAAATAAACGACAAAAAGTCTCATCAAGATTAATATGATCTATAAAGGTAGAAGACTATTTGTTTCTCTTTTTTCAAGAGCTATAACCTGGGTAAGATGTTCTTCCCCCCTCCCCCAATGACTTCTGTATTTTTATTTATGAAACAACCCTACCTCAAAGATAGGCTTAAGTCATATAAGAATAAGAATCATTATTAGGGAACCTGAAAAGTTAAATTCTTTATCATCTTTTCTGGTTGAGCATTTTTAAGTACTTCGTATATTGGTATAAAGTACAAAAAGTCTGCACATCACTGATAGCTTCAAATCTTCACATTTCCTTAATTGCTACCCAGGTAAGTAGGATAATTTGCTCCAGACTCATGGCTACTGTGGCAACTCAGAAACTGACTGGAATATTAAATTGACAGGCTGTAGCAGGTTTTATAGGCTTTACTGGATCAGAGGTTTTGTCTGAACAAAGAAATGCATGCAATATCCTGCAAACTGGCTAAAACACAAGGTGAAAGCTGGTGGTGGGGTTTTGCATTAACTTTCTTTCCTTCAAAAAAAGTCTCAAGAAAATGAGGGGTGCTGGGTGTGGATTTTAATTTTAGCATTAGAACCCGTAGGGCAGATGGTGTCTCTCAGGCAACAGCTCATCTGTCTTCTCTCCTGCTGTAGGCTTGAAAAGCAAGGACCTGTTCATACCCTGACTTTCACCCACCCCACAAGAAGTTTACTGGGTGCTCACTCTTCCTTCCCCTTCATTGATCCCAGTACACCCAAAGCTACACTCTTACGTATCTATCTTTCCAGAGACCAAGGTGAACACTATAAAAATAGATAAACTCACTAATGCTTTTTTTTTTTTTTTTTTGGCTAACTTGGAGCAAAACAGAGTATAAGCACTAGGTAAAAGACAACCAAAAGTTGGTATCCTGTTCTCCCTTCCCCTCCCCCACTGAAGACTTGACATCCTCATTTTATTTTAACTTTGCCTTTATTTCAATAACATGGAAATCAAATTGGCCTTTAAGTAAGCACTCTTTTAACCAGTGACTCTTATGCTACTCTTTGGAAAAGAGAGCACAGCTTTCACTGGTGGTAAGTGTAGTGTCACCTCTACCCCTTTCGTAACCTGATTGATCTTTGCTGTATTTCATGTGCTGTGCTGGATAATGACCACAGTTAGATGTCAGAAGAGTGGCCCCCACCTGGCCTCCTGGACTGTGAGCCTTCCAGCCAAAAGAACAGAGGCAGATAAAGGAAATGGCTCATGGCATAAGAGCTAGGTTTGATAACGTGATTTCTCATAATGTGCCAACACGCAGAGGTCCATGCTTTCTTTTTAATTCCTAATTTTAAAAAAACAACGGAACACTGTTTGAAGTCATCAAAGTACATCTGATGATATAAAACCTCTTCTGCCCTCTAGTGCTGTGAAGCAGTGGGATGTCTGAGATGCGCTGATGGTTTTGGGGGGGGCGAAATATGTAGCCTTGCAACTCACAATTCCAGCCACTTTTTTCACTGACAAAGGGAGGGGAGTGTAAAAGGTACTTAATAATTTTTGTGTACAAGCTTGAGAGAAATATGATCTTAATATCTGAAACAGCCAAGAAAAACTAATAAAAAAAAATCTTGAAACTGATAAACTGTACACCAGCTTGTCAAAGGCAGTTTGGGATAAACTATAAATGCTACTGCTCAGTCAAATAAAGAAAAATCTGAAAAACCATCACTGATGGGGAATGTTATGCCATAAGCAAGATGGGTTGTCAAAACTTACTTTTAAGTAACTGTTGCAGTTGTGCTGTGAATGCCGCAGGAGCATTGCTGCCCTCTCAGCTCCTGCCTTTGAGGGTCTGGGATTCAGTGGAGAGGTGAAGAACAGTCTCACGGGCACCAGAGTATGCTGGCAGGAAGGGAAAGGATCATATTAAATGGCACTATTAAAGCTCTCAGCTCTATCTTTACTAGTTTAATCTCATAAATTAATCCACGTCCTCCTAGAATAAGTCTTCAAAGAGAAAGAGGTAATTGGATATAAATACTTTCCTTCCCAAACTCTGAATTACAGTGATACAACAGCAGGCAGCTTTTTGCACTTTGATCTCTTTGCATGATTTTCATTCCCTTTTTTAGCCTTAGTCTCAGGCCTCATTCTCTGATTACTTTTCCACAGCCAGCTGTGCTTTCTCTGCTTCCTAGCTTGTCCTCTAGCCACCCCCTGTGTCCCTTTCTTCTTTTAAGTGGCTCAGCCTTCGCCCCTCATTATTCTTTGTTTTCTGCTCTTCTCCTTGGGCCTTCCCCACAATGAAGTCAGATGAAATATTTGTGCCCATGCGTGTAGATAAAACACGCTCTGAATACTGCAGAGATGTGAGCTTACTCTGATACATAGAGCCAACTGCTGCTTAAGTCCATTTCTGGTATACCTGCACCCCCGTGCCTTAACTTCTGCTGAGCAGGAGCAGTGTAAACTTGTACCCACACAATACACCACATAGATAAAACCCTTTGTTTTCTCCGAGTGGAACTGACATGTTTTCATCATTCTTTTGATCACCTCGAGTCTCTAATACACTCTGAACCCTGTCCTGCCTCTTTGCTGTCGTGTTAGATTGATAGCTCCTTGAGACAGCAACTGCATTTTGAATTAAGTCTAGCAAAATAGGGTCTTTGTCCTGATTCAGTGAGTTGCACCTTAGGCATAACAGCAAGATAAATATGCTCAAGGAATTCCCAGTGCCTGACAAAGCAAGTCTGACAAGGAAACTGAGGCTCAGTCTGAAGGCAAGTCACCTGGGTCCATCACAAACAGTATGATTTTGCACGCTCCTTGGCCAATTTTTGGGCAGACTGCCTAAATCTACGAGGTGCTTGATGCCCTCAAGGTATGGTGTGGGACTGCCAGCCCCAGTGTCCTTCCCGGTAGACAATGGTCTTCCTCTGTGCTTGAGCAAGCTGTGGAAGTTGTTGTCTACCACGTGGAACTGTTTGATTCAAGGAAGTGATTTGATTTGAAATGTCTGAGATTTCAGGTCAGCAGTCTAGAGTGAGACTTAAATAAGAAAAGTGAAGATTATGCTAAAAGTTTCTGAAAATGTTACCCTTGGTACTTGAACTGAATTCCAAATATAACAAGTATTTCTAGAGTATTTACCAAAAATTCCTGAAGAGCTGAATCAAAATAAAGACTGGTTTTGATATGAAGCTGTTTGCTACAACAGCAGAAAACTGACCTTGCTGACGAAGGAAACCCCTTCCAGTCCTGTTCTTCTGCAGACAGGAAAAATAAAAGTGTGTTCTCTTTCATTTTAGTGTCAGCCCGTATGTCTTGATAACTCCAAACGAAACCAGAAGAAACCAGTTGCAGCAAAGTAAGTTGATTTGTCTAATATGATAATACATTGTTTCTACTTGAATAAGTTTAGGGGTTTGTGCACTTTATTGCCCTTTTTATCCTAATTTTTACAATGCTTTTATATGTGCAGCTGTGACAGTAAAGTCAGTGCTATGAGCATTTTCCATCATTGTGTAGGCTTTTCTTAAGATTAACTTCTCATCTGGCTAAACTTCATGCTGGATAAGTCTTGTTCAGGAAAAGGTTTTCGGTAATTTCAGTGCTAGAGCCATTCTAGCTGGCATCTACAAGACTGAGCTGGAATTAGCTCTATCCCACCTTTACAGGACTGAATTCAGATTGAAGAACCCAACTTTGAATGCTCTCTGGGTTAGGGGGAGGAAGAAGAAAAATATAACAAATATATTTGAATGTACTCCCATGTGGAGACTAAAGCAACCAGAACCACTGTTGGTTCTTGAATCTCCGTTTAAGGGATTGTAGGTGGATCTTCTAATGAAGATGGGAAAGATCATTTTAGATGGAAATATCTTCCCTTTTGCTTGGCTTCAAGTCTTGCTGGTAAAAGTAGCTAAGCAGGAACACCCTGAACCTCTACCAGAAATCTTAGGCATGTGTTAAAAAGCTTTAATTGCCAAGAGTTACAGCAAAAGAGCCATGACATAAATTCTGTATGCAGAGGTGACCAAGAACTGCAGTCCCGCACTCCTCATACAGGACATGAAAGCTGAAGGAGTGTCAGTCAGTACTCCTCACATTTTGAGCCCTGAAGAAAACAGTGCAATAAAAACATTCCTTCTCAAACATTGTGAGTTTGGCTGAAATGCTTCACCAGAAGACTGGTGTAGGGTTGGGTTACCTTTGGCTGCAAGAAAGAAAATGGATGACTCCTGAACCAAACCATAATCTTCTGGAAGGAGGAATAAAAGCAGATCATCTTAGAGCTGACTCCAACGCTAACACCAAAGGTGCTGCTGCTCTAATAAAGATCTGCTTTCACTTTGTGCCACCACCATGCAAAGTCTGAAACATGCCAAGTACTTCTGCCGTAGGTACTGGCAGAAATAGGGCCTCACCAAATCCAGTCTCTACCTAAGTGCTTGTTTTAAAGATGAAATAACAAGCTGGTATCTCTCTTGGGTCTCTTTAAAGTCTTGCCCAGGAACTGGCTTTATCTTGTTAGAGGAGGGCTGGTGCTAGCATCTGTTAGCCTTAGCCTGCCATTAGAAAATATGGTTCATGTTGGTTTTAGTAAGAGTGAATTGAACTCTTAGAGCAACTGAGGTACTACTCTAAAACACAGCTCCTCTTTTCATAGGCTTTGTGTGCCCTGCTATTGAAAGGAATTGGTTTTTTTTTTCCTCTGCCAGTTGATTTGAGAGAGCAGTTTAATCAATCAGCCATCCTAGCGCATACGGCTGGTGCCCCTGGGTGTATTGACTAGACTTCCACCAACTACAATGGGAGCTTGCCACCCATCTCACATGTGGACAGCTATGTTGAAGTGTCTTAACTTGAAGCTGAATCATGCATTCCTCCTGTTTTTATTTAGGAAGCATGTGGTTGGGAGGGAAAATTTCTTATTCTTCATTTCCCTGCTGGGGAGCGTTACACCACAAACATTTCCCTACATGCAGCAATAACATCTTAATCTTAACAACTTCTGCTTTACCTGTAGGAGTAAAGACTGTGACATTTGCCTACAGGTTCCCAGGGTTTAAAAAGAAGTCTATTAGCAGTCCCTTAGCTGTTCTTTGTTTTGCTTTTGGGGTTGAGTCCTAGGGTTTGCTCACCATATGGTCTCAAGTTAGGCAAAATATTTGCCTTGTTAGCTGATCATTGCAGTGACTGTGTAACCTCCTGGGGGTTAACTGTACCCCTTGAGAACAAGTTTGTCTGTTCCTGGGTGGTTCTTCAGGGTTACATACAATTAATGATACCATCTGCTTTTTAGTACTGCTTCTAACTTCCATATATTTGTTTCTTTTTGTACCTGCTCAGTTGCTAAGAAAGAGCTAGATGACCTGGAGCGGTGGAAGGAAGAGCACAGGCCAGGGCCAATTAAGTTGGTTCCACAGAGACTGGGTAAGGCATGTAAATAAACTATTATGAATTGCAACATTTTATTTTACAGGACATGAGACATTTTTCACTTTTTCTCACACTTATCAAAGAGATTCAGTGTCAATAAGGGCTGACATGGGCCTACTATGTGTGCTCTGTGCTTTTTGATGGTCATAGCAATGAAGATGTTTCTGAAACAAAACAGCATAGATTGTCACTCAAGAAATGTGTAGAAAATCTATACCAACATTTGGGAAAAAGAGGTAGATTATCCCTCCTGCTGGCAATGTTGTCTGTGGTTGATGTCTCTGAGGGACACACACTTGGCATTAGCATGCAGACGGACAGCATGTGTTGGAGACCCTCCAGTTACCCGTAAGAAAACTATTTTTTATGAGGGGCCAGTACGTGTGCTTTCCTCATGGCTGGCTCCTGAAGATGCAGAAATGATCCCTGCATCTTCAGGCATTTGCAGGCTAAATGTGCATGAGGCTCTGTATTGACAATTTAATAAAAATAACAACAGAGATAGGTAAATGAAAAACAGGATAAAAAGCTACAGGAATTTAGGTCACACTGAATTGAACTGATGTGTTTGATAAGATAGCCAACTTTTTTTCTAGACAAGTGAGAGGAACCGTAGTGGATCTGTTAAATTGTAACCACTATAAAGCATTTAACGTAGTGCTATTTTGGAGGTAGGTTAAAAAAAATTAAAAAGACCAAAACCAACCCCAACACACCCCCAGTCTTGTACAGAGGATAGGGCTGCAGGTTGTGCTGAAGCAGGAGGAAGGTTATTAGAAGTGCTTTTCAAGTACCAGTCTTCCGACCTATCTTGTTTTAGTATCTTTCTTTAATGTCTTTGGCACAAAAAGTAAGAGAGAGCTAATGAAACTCGCTGACAAGACAAAACTTGAAAGCATCATCCGTGTGGAACATGATGAGGATACTGTGCAGCAAAAATGGGATGACCTTGAGGAACTGCACTAATAGAAATGGGACAAAATTCATTCTGACAAAGTGAATTATTATAATGATGCCTTTATTAGTTTTGTAAAACTCTCTTCCTTCTCTTGGCTGTTGTAGAGAATTTGGGGTACACAGTACAGGCCATTGTCTGCTTGACCTGGAAACTAAGTTCTCTCTTTGCCATGCTATACCAGATAAGTTTGGGGTGGTTTACTCTGTATAAAAATAGATACCAGGTGGGGGTTGGAGGAATTTGAACTGACTCCAACCCAGATTTGTTTCTGGGGTCAAGGTGATACTGGTCACAAGTTTGTTTTGCCCTGCAGCCCGAGTCCCAGTTGTTTGCCATGGTGAACCTACCTTTGCAAGTTGATGTAATGCCCTGTATTCCCACCATCATGTGGCCAGACATGCTCTTTGTGAGTTCATACATACTAGCTGCTTCTTGGCTGTGAGCAGGTCCTAGAAAACATGCTTCTGCCCCAAGAGAGCCACAAAGCTTTTTGCTGAAGAAAGTGAAATCTGAAAATGGAAAGCTGGTGTGTGGTGTCTATGCGGAATGTGCTCAGGCTGTCTGCGTGACTGGGAGCATGGTGGCAAATGCGCAGTGACTAAGAGTGTGGGGAGTCTTAACTTATTCTGGTCCCACTGCATTTAAAAACTTTCTTAGGAAAGAAGCAAATTAAGGAAGACAAAAAAAGCAAGAAAAAGCTGAAAGAATTCAAGGAGGTTATATGAGCTCTTCAGTCACTGTCTAGCTGCCACTTAGAAAGACCCCTGGAGACTGAGACACATGCACTATGTTCAGTGCCTCTGAAAAGGGATAAGGTGCAAAGATTATTAGATCTTATCATTCCCACAGGAACAAATTTGGAACAGGAGAGCGCTCAAGGAAAGAGAAAAAAATATAAGTGGCATCTCTAATTTCACAACTGTAGGTAGTCATTAAGGTAAAATAGTATCCTATGTTATTTTCTCAGAGTGATTTTAAGACACTACACATCTAATCCCAATCACCAGAGAATTCTTAAAGTTGAAGTTTCTTAACACTCATCCTTTCCATAGGGAAATAAGTATTCTGGATTTCAACTCTGTAATATTTGACTGAGAAACTTTCAGGTACCATAGACGGATGAGAGCAATGAAGGATGCAAGTTCCACCGTCGTCCATAAGCAATGCGTGGAGCAACAAATCATGCCTGATAAATGCAATGGCCTCTTTTTCAGTCATATTACATAAAGCCAGTAATGACATATTCTGAATTCAGTGAAACATTTGACACATTACAGCCAAGCCAACTTGAATGAATTAAACCTGGCTGAAAGTCTATAGGCAATGGCTAATAATGATCCGTAAAATACTTGTTTAGAACTGATGTCCAGCAGTACCTGCAGAAACATACAGTGAACACAAAAGTGTCAAATGTTGCCAATAAAAGGCTAGAAAGAAAGAAAGAAAGATCAAGCATCCAAAAGGTTTCAAAACTTGTTTAATAGCAATTTTATTTCCTAGATGTGGGGAGGAGATACTCGACAATGCCAGCTGTATGCTTGTTGCTACTGTAGGCTTGTTGCTTGTATACTGTATGGCCAGTCTTTCTTGCAAGAAGCTTAATCTTACAGAGTTATCTGTGTGCATAGGAATGTTTCCACACTTAGGAAATTGATCTCCCATTCACTGGACCTCACAAAAGCACCTAAAGATTAGTTACCATCCATTAGTAAGTGGAGAAAGCTACTTTTAGTGAAGGGTGATCCCTCCTGAAATATCTAGTAGAGCTGTCTTACATTTCAGGCACCTCAGGTTGCACAGATTAGTCCAGCTCTTTCTGTAGAATTAGCAGTCAGATAGTGGGGAACTTCTCAGAAAATCAGTAGGTGAAAATACAGCCCTCATCCTCAAAATGGGGTGTGGGCTGCTGCTGTGTTTTCTGTTGTTTTTTTCAACAACCGAGGGAATGAATTACGGTCTTTCCCAGAGCAAGAAAATACCTTGGAAAATAGTAGAGCAGCATAATAGAATGAAACCCACTCCCTCCATCCCTTAAGACCTATTATCATTTTCTCTGTGTGGTTGGGGTTTTTTGTTTGTTTTATTTGTGTGTTTCATTTTGGTTTTTTTTTAATTGAAGGCTGAACATTATGGGCAGAAGTATAGATGTTCTCAAAAGAGAGCCTGTGCCTTTGGAAAGGGCACCTTCTGCTACCTAGATATAAGTATGAGGTCTGTGGGAAAAGGTCTAGATTTCTATTTCATAAAGGGGATTCTTCCTTGAGCCCCAAGACATTACTTAGAAGATATTCAAATGACAGCATCCCATTAGAGCTGGCAGAGACTCCAAGCTCCTAAATTTGATAAAAGAGAAACATTTTGGCAATAAAACTTCTGACTCTCTATGTGTGTGTGTGACAAACTGAGCAAAGGTGGGGAGAGCTGGGTCTGAAAATGAAGACTCATCTGCAAAGCGTGACTGATTTTCTGAAAATGGAATAGTTCCTCAGTGAACTGATCATACACTGTAGGACGTATTTGCTGGTAGAGTGGGTGATACAGTTGATGCTCTGTAAATAACAAGCTAGTGCTTTTGACGGATGGATAAAATGATCAAAAAGGTCTCACGTCTGTTCTCTTTAATGTCAGACAGCTACTGTAATTATGAAAAATTTCCTGTATATGCATACATCCAATCTGTTATATTGCTTTGTTCTGAAATGACTGGCATTTGAACTTAAAATGCTCATGCAAAATGCAATTTATACCTTTTTTTTTTTTAAGGTGGAAAGGAATCAGAGGCTCAAGCAAGGCAAAAACAGCAAATGGCGCTCATGCAATCTAAATACCAGCAAAAGGTCAGGAAGAATAAATTTATTTGTTTATTTTAAGAACCCAAAAAAAAAGCTTTTCATGAAGTGTTTCATATGGCTATAAAATGAACTCACAGCTGCTTGACAAAAGGAAGTCATGAAACCTGAAGGATGCAGCAGAAAACTAGAAACAACTGTTCTGCACCAAAGAAAATGAGAAATCTGGCTATAAATATGTAGCAACCCGTATCGCAGATCATAACTAAAATGATAACCATTACAGTTGTAAAGCTACTTATATGCCTTGCTGTATCTTCCGGCATGCTGCCTACACTTCGACTAATTGATCAATGTACCAGCCCATCCAGTGCTTATGTAGAAATGTTGTTCCTGTTATAAAAGTTATAAATGCTTGTAAGTTATCAATCAGCTGTGTGATTCCTTGCATGGATGCCCATTTATCAGTCCTAGATTTCTCAGTCTTTGTAAAGCCAATATTGCAGTAGCTGCTACACAGCATGCTTTATTCAGTGTCTCATTTCAAGAAAAAATTCTGGAAACTTTTCTCAAACACACTTTAGGTTTGAAAGATGTGCAGTACAGGAGTTACCTTATGTCAAGTCAAGTTACCTTATGTGTTCTTTGTATATATACATATGTAAAATAATTTTCTATGTTTCTGTCATACAGCACAAGAGAGAAGAATATGTAAAAGCAAAAAAGGCAGCTGAAGAAGCTGAAATCCTGAAAAAGAAAGCAACTCAGAGAGAAAAGGTAAACATGGTTACTGCAGAGTTGGAGCCATATAACAAAGTTCATGTCTTGATGCTTGATTTTGCTGAACTACATGGAGCAGGCTAATTAAATTAAATGGTAGCCCCGGATTGCATCAGGGAGTTAGGAAATCCAGTCCTTCTTCTCTTTGTAGCTGACTGAAGGATGCCTGACCTGGTGTTCTTTGGGGCTTGAGCATTCCTTTGGCTCTTCAGAAACTGCAGCCTTTCAGTTGTTATCCATCCTGAAGAGTTAGCAAAAAGAGAGAACACTAGGGTCAGGATTAATGTTGTGTATACAGGTTATATAGTTCACTTTGGCATGAGCTTTCTCTGTAAGATTGGATTGTGGCAGATGGCACAAAGACCTTATAGAAATCCATAATTGCCTGCTATACACATGGGAAGAATACAAGAAAATCAAGCCTGTGATGGTGGAAAAGGCATCCAAATCATGAAAAGGTCATTGTAGTCTATCTGCACTCTGCTGAGCACACCCTGAAATTCAGATGCCCCTCCAGCCCCTCTGGGGCTTGCACACCCAGGTGTATTGCCAATATGTAAGATCACTTTTCCTTCTAATATTCACCATATATTGACACCAATGATAGCTCATTTTCAAATCTGCAGTTTTATTTTGCATTTGGGTTTTTTTTCCAGTCATTTTCACAAAACATCTTCTCATCTGCTGCATAAACCTTTGTAAAAGTTCATTCATGTCTCCTTGGTGTAAACCAAGTAGCACTCACTTGAGAACGTAGTGTGGAATTTAAATGCAAAAAGAAAAGAGGGGGGGCATGATACTGATGTGCATAGTAGTAATGAGGGAAAGGGAGACTTCAGGTTTGCAAGTTTTGTCTCCGCAACAGGAAAAATGATCTTCTGTGCAGAAGCTGAATGCTGAGGGTTAATTAAAAAATCATCACTACTGGATGGTGTGCAAGGGCATGCATAAATAAAAATAGCCTTAATTGCCTTGAGGTAAGGGTTAGTCTTGTTCCCAGTCTTTCAGTGGTTAGCATTACTGTTTGGGGATAAGCCCATATGCAATAGCTCACAGGGGCAATAAATATTATCACGTGAAAATGTCATTAACAGTTACCAGCTCATACATACCTCCAGAAGCAGTGATGATAGCAATGGTAGAAAGGGGATTAATTATATTTTATTCACCTATTAAATATATGTTGTTTGCCTGTGGGCATTGGACAAGAAAAATGTTGCAAGACTGCTGTAATTTCTAGTTACACCTAGAAAATATATTGATGTATCATTTTTGTTTTCATGCTCTTTAATTTCCTTACTTTCACTCCCACCAATTATAAAATCTTTATAGATGTTGTAGATACTAAAACTGTAACTATCATTTTCTTCTAAAGGAGAATGCAAACATCTTTGCCGAACAGACTGTTTAATTTGAATAAATAAACATATACCCACAAAGCAAACAAACAAAACAGAGGAGTATGAAAGGGAACTCTTAGTTTGAATTTGTTTATTCGTGTTGTCTTCCACAATAGTGATTGAGCTGATGAAGATTTCTGCTTGCAAGATGTTTATATATTAAAAATTCAACTCTGTGTTTAAGAAAAGCATGCTGGAAAGCCACTAAAAGGTGTCAATTTGGCTATCTCACCCTGCCTGCAGATGAAAGACTCCTGAGAGCTGAGGATGACAGGAAAGGGATCCTAAAGAACTGGTACTGTACGAGCAACGTTGGGCCCTGGTTACTCCCTGGTTACCACAGGAGAGGAACTTCTTTTGTTAAAGTGATAGATTTGTAAACAACTGCACCTGCAGGGCATCAGCTGAGAGCATGTCTTTCTGCAAATTCACGAGCCGCCTTTTCTTGCTTGCCAGTCCTTCTTTTGCTCAAGGTTATTATTCATTCAATAAAAACTGAGTTGTCTGACAGTCTGAAACAAGATAATGGCTAGCCAGCTTTATCAGCAGGGGCCCTGAAACTTTCACAGCTGGAGAGCTACTTTGCCAACAAACATGAATGGTGAAGCCTTACAGACTAACGCGCGATGACTAGAACGGGTGCAGGTACTCAGCTCAGTTCTTTGATTGTAAGGATGATGTACTGTAAGCCAGCGCTGCTTATGAACATAGGATCTGTTTATGTTACTGCTTTAATGCTGGTTTTGCAGAGAAAAGCAGTATTCACTCTCCTGTTATCTTTGTGACCAAGAGAAAACTGGGTGTCTGCCAAAGCAGTACCCAAATGTGGATGGTCTGCCTTACCATCTGTACAAGTCCACCTGCCTGCCTCTGTCATTCTTTAATTAACCATGAGGTTAGGTGCTGAAATACCAACATTCTTGGCATCTACCTTGTCTCTCTCCAGCTCCCAGAGAGAAGAAAAGTGGATCCTTCCCCCTCATTCTGTGTTCCACAGGACCAGTTTGTGTGAACTTGTACTCGAGTCTCCATGTGTAGCAGTGAATGGCATTCGGGATTCTGCGTGCTCCATCTCAGGCACCTGGTCCTGGGACTGCTTTGATTTGTTCATGGGATAACCCTGGGCTGCATGAGTTTGGATATTCTTCTAAGCTAGTGAAGTGCTCACTTCACTCAATTCTAAGCTCTGAGTGCTCACTGAATAATTTTGGAGAGACTTTGTAACATTAGCAGGGGAGTCCCTATTTCTGTATTTGTCCCTAGTGCCGAGATGCGTGTCTGATCCACAGAAAGTATGGGAGTGCATGGGAAGTAGCGTTATACTGTTTGTTCATTAGTAGCAGGCATCTGCAGTTGGGTGTCTTTTGTGTGGCCCTTCACATCACAGTTTTTGACCAGACCGCACCATAGCTTCCTTTGTGTCTTTTGGGTGAAAGGACTGTCAAAGTTACCAAGAAAATAAACAAGTGGCTGATATTTGGCTTCTTGTTTTTTAAGCTTTCTGCATTTATGCTGTACACAAAATAGCGTAACTTCAGTGCACTGGATATTTCTGTTTCCTGTCATTCAATCTCTGTTCCTGTACCCTGTCTTTAGCCTTTCCTTGTAGATTCTAAATCTTGACTAAATATTAAAAGATTCAAAAGACTTGAAGTGAAAATGCTCAGTGTAATTCTACTGTGGGCAGCTTTCTTTTGCTCTTACATTACATAGGAACAGTCTGGCCATCTTCAGAAACTGTCCAGTTTAGAATAAACTGTAATTTCATTTTATTCTTTATCAAATCATGTGCTCTTTAATTTGACTGTGTTAATCAGCATGAATGGCCTTTTTCGGGAATTTGTTAAAACTAGGCACTTTACAGACCTTCTGCTAATGCTTTTCAACATGTTTACCTTCAATATCACAGCTGTTCCACTCTTGGCTTTGTTTTTGAAGACTGTGCCAAATGTGGAGTGTTTTGGCAATGTCTATTGATAGATTGTCATTAGTTAGAGAATGTCCCAGTCCCGTTGCCTGTCATTTGTACGTGCCCTAAGCAGGGGTCCCAGGGTATACCTCCAGCGTAGAAAATAGTCACACCAGCCACAAGTAAATAATTTCAATACGCTGGAGTTTTCTTCAGGCACTATTCTGGTGGTAGAATACCGTAGGATATTTCCTGCTTTTTTATCTAGTGGGAGACGAGGGTGATATTCAAGAATTGTATTTATCAAAGTTAGTATCAATGTGGTGTTCTAGCTAGAAGCTAGACCACAGCAACTTCATTGAGCTTTGGATTTGAACTTTCAGGAGCCATGCAGTATGATGGTGGATCCCATGTCAAATGGTTTTTCAGAGGTGATGGCGTCAGCTTGCAGGGTTGAGCAGTGGTGGGGAAAAGCCTGGGAGCAATTAGTGGCGTCTTGAGGGTATCAGCATCACCTTTGACAATCACAGACGCCATCAGATTGCCTTTCTTCCTCTTTCCTTTCTTTCCCTGTAAATTGTTCAGTTGCATAGGTGGGTGGGAGTCTTTTGCCTAAAAAATCATCTGTCTCTGAGTGGAGAGGTTAGGAGCAAACAAGATATGCCTTGAACACTATCAAAATTTACCTATACTGTGGGGTGATATTTCTTACTTTAGTTTGATTTTTTTTTTAATTGCGTCAGTACTTCATACATTCTACCACTGTCTCAGCATGTCAAATGACTGACCAATGGGACATCTTATTCAGAGATTCATCTTCCTCCTTTCGTTTATTTTCCATTGCCTTTTTACAAGTAACTTTTAAGTCATTTGCCTTCCAATAGTTTATATCATTACACAACATAGTAGCTCTTCTCCTATCTGCAGACATCTGACAGGGTTTTTTTACTTAATCCAATACAAGCTGAGGAGGAATTTGCATTTGTTTCGCAAATCTCTTCCAGACAGTCATTCCTATCCAATTAAAAAATACCCTGAAATTGTTGAAGGCAAAGTAATTGAGTAACTGCCAGTAGAACTGTAAATTTTCTGAAATGTTATTGATTGCCGGAGAGGAAGAAAATGATGGGGGTGGGGGTTACAGCCCTGTTCTTAACACCACCTTCCCCCTTACACACACACATGCCCCCCCGTTCTGCCTGGCCTTGCACAATACCTCCACCCAGGTATAGTGTCCTCTCCCTGATTTGGGGCTCTGACCAAATGGGCCATTCCCACCTACAGCTCCCTTCTCATCTCTGCAAGGTATTGTCTGAAATTTCCAGGACCCTTTGTTTAGAGCAATGTCTGGTTGCTGGGTTACCAAACAATTACTTTTTTTCATTTTGAGGGTGGGTGATGAGAGGAGTGACAGTCCAAGGTTGCAGTTGCTAGTTGTGAACCTTGGGTGGGAGCTCTTGTTGGAGCATTCCCCCACCAACTGCAGTGTGGGAGCTTGTGCTCAAAATATAGCAGGGCTGAAATCCCAGTTTTGAACTTCTGATTTGTGCTTTTAATACACTGAACTGCCTTCTGACTGCTCTTCCCACTGGACCTACCTACAGCCTGTGTGTCAAAAAGCCTCCTTTTGACTGGAATTTAGCTTGAGCTACATATTGCTGTTGCAGCAAGTTCTCTAGTTTCTGCTTTGTTTTAACATTGCATTCTGCTTGAATGTGGGGGGTGGGGCAGCTTAGACAACCCACTGGAAATTATGTGCAATTTTATATTAAAGGACTTAATCACTTGTGTGGTATCCAGATTTAAAGAGGAGTTTTGTGTGTCAAGGATTTTGTTGACTCTTGCACTGGGCAAGAATGAGGCAGAATAATACTGGTTAAGTACAAACGTCTCTCACTTTCATCTGTCTTTGCATGTATTCAACTGGCCAGTACCTAACACTCCTGAAGGCCACAGATCTATGTGCAGAGCTACATGTGCTCATACCACTGTGCTTTTGGTGCTACAAGACTATCATCTGCTTTGGTGCGGTGGTTCCTGTCATGTACCTTCTTCCTAGGACCAACGTTGCATCAGTTATATCAAGAGGTGGCCCCAACACTGCTGTGGCATAAGAACTGTGAAGGCTGATGAGGCCCTTTCCAAGGATAGATGGGTCTGCCAGGAGCACAGTGCAGTTTTCTATTTCAGACTGGTCTTTTGACTAGGAACTGTTTAAACTTGAGATTGGGTCACTTCTGTAGCCAACTGCTGCTATAGTTGTTTTAAACAACAGAATATTATAATACTTGAATTGAAATAATCAATGTTTGTTTCTGGCTTACTGGAAATCTTAAGTATGTTTTCCTGTTTTTAATGCTGTAGGCAGAGAGACTTGAAGTTAAAAAAAGGCAACAAGAAATGCTAAGAAGAGAGATGTTCCTTGAAGAGCAGTATTAGTAAGTAAAATTTGAAACTTATTACCTGAAATTCCTCAACTTCTTGTCCTGTTTTGGGGTTGGGTTTTGGGGTTGTTTTTGTTTTGTTTTGTTTTGTTTTTTTAATTTGTTTGCTTTTGTCTGGTTTGGGGCTCAGGAAGGGTTTGGCTTCTGTTGCTGTCTTTTCACTTTTTGACTTTGAAACTTTTGACTTCAGAGCAAGAGGCAATGGACACAAACTGAAACACAGGAGGTTCCTCCTGAACATCAGGAAACACTTTTTTACTGTGAGGGTGACTGAGCATGGGCACAGGTTGCCCAGGGAGGTTGTGGAGTCTCCATCCTTGGAGATATTCAAAAGTTCTGGTCAACTGGCTCTAGGTAGCCCTGCTCGAGCAGGGGGTTGGACAAGCTGACCTCCAGAGGTCCCTTCCAACCTCAGCCACTCTGTGATTCTGTGAAATATTCCAAGCTTCCTCCATACCTTATTCTGTGAGAAATTTGGTTCAGTAGATTCCTCTTAGCTTCTCAAAACATACACTTTGCAATTAAACCTGTGAATTATAGAACAACTTTGTGCTTTCTTTCTCTAACTGAATCAATCTGTGATCATTCAATCCAAGACTAATTATTGAAACAGGATCTAAATTACATCTCTGCCCATTTATTTTAGTGACTGGTAAAGAAATCTAAACCCCATGGAAATAATGAGGACTTCCTATATTTAGCATAGTCCTACAGCTTAAATGTAGAGATCTGCTGTGAAGACCTGTTTCCCAAGAATACCTCCTTAATGTCAGATTTAGATATGGCTTAACTCCTGACATAATTAATTCCATTGGCAGTGAAGTTCCTGCCTTGCCAGTTCACTCTACCCTATTTATTTATTTTTAACTTATCCAAACCAATTCTATCGCATAATTAAAACACAATCCTGTTTAGTCACCTTTATCTTTTTTATCTTTGGCTCCTGAAATTACTCACCTGTGTTCTTAGCATGATTGATTGCTCTTTCCTCCTCTGTGACCTTTAAAGGAGTCACTTTTGTCCCATGCTAGTAGCTCCAGTTTCTTCATCACTTGCCCAGACTCTGTTCTCTAATGTATAGACATTTTAGTGCATTCTCACTGATCTCAGCCTTTATTGTCTTTTTCCTTTTATTTCTTCCCATTTGGCTTTAGGTACAGCTCTTTCCTTAAATACATTGCCAATGTTTGTCTCTAGGTATTGGTATTTTGCCTGCTGTTTGTCCTCTGTTTGTCTGCGTGTGGATTTCCCCCCCCCACACCTTAATTCCTCAGGATTTCTGAAGACATTGGACAGCTTAAGAACTCTGCCTGTTTCTGACAAACTAGACACCTTCATGCTTTTGAGCCTAACTCAACAACAACTTCATCAGGTCTTTTCATTGCAGGGTCCTCCATTATGGGACTTGCTTTTTCCTGAGGAGATTGTCAGGGTTCTTATCTTCATATTTAATCTGATTTTTTGTCTTAAGTCTTACTTAATTATGAACAGAAACATATCTCTTCCTTCCCTCACCTTCCCTCTCTATACCTTTTTTTTTTGCTTAGGGTGAAATGAATGCTGCTGATCAGCACTTTTTCCATTAAAAGTAAGCTTGCTTCTGACAAAAGCAAGCCCAAACCCTCTGAAACACCTTCATGTGGGCAGTCAGTTCATCTCCAGGTGGTGCCGGAGCTCAGGCTGCCTGGGCACTGAGGAGGAGGCTGGTTGGCAGCCATTCTGTCCACTGATTTAGGAAAGCCATGTGAGCATTCAGTTGGTGTCATCTTAGGAAACCAAACTGACTGATGCAACTGAAGGTAGAGAAGGACTGTCGAGCTCCATTGCTTGAGATTATGTTCAACTATCAGAAGATTATTTGTATGTAGTATGTATTGAACATACACCAGAAGGGCCCTGTAGATACTGCACCTGGAGGAAGTAAGCTGAAAACCTGCCTACAGTGAACATAATTTTGGTTAAGCAAAAATCTCCCATGCTGTACAGAATGGCACTAGTGCCTTTGCTGGTCTGAAGGAATCCTCTGGTGGGCAGAGGAAGAGGAGTCTTTACCACTGGATGTTGTTGAGGTTGCATTGCTAAAATACATTGGCATTTTAGAGCACAACATCCAGGAGTAATGGAAAGATACTGTGTGACATCTCAGATCTTGTAAAGTAACAGCATTCGAGTACTGGCGGTTATTAGAGACATGTTCACATAAAAGTGCTTGGTATTTAAAGACGTGCTTTTGCCTACTATGCAAAAATGAGTGACTCATTACTTCCATCATCTAAGATCCTATGTCCAGAGGCAAAGCGAACAAATATGAGGTTGTGCCCCTTTCCTCACTGTCTCTGCTAGAATATTTTGATCTCCTTCCCTGCTTGCTGGGAGAGGGGGGAAGAAAGGTCATGCACTGCATATAAAGTAATGCCCTCTGTAAAGTCACAGCCTGCAGAGCATTTCAAAAGATAAGCTGCCTTGTTAGTCTGTCCTCTGTAAGCATCTGTAGCTGCAACATCACAATTTTTCTGAGGAGATCAGTGCCTACCAGCAGTCTCATTAGCTGGGAAACCTTTTAAAATTGATCACCACCTCTAGCTGTATCAGCCTCCACGGGGTACAGCCCAATCTGTACCTCTGCTGTATGAAGTGCCGCTTCTATTTGATAAGGAAAGGTGCTTAAGATTCTCATGTCATTAACATACTCTGACAATAAAGTATGATGCTGCGCAGAAGTTCGTTGTTCCGATTAAATTCCTGTCACTATTAAAAACAAGAACTTCTCACTGAAATCCCCTTTCAAAGGGTGTAACATGAAGTAAGTGAATGCCAAAAGGAAAAAAAAAAGGGCTGGAGCACCTCTCCTATGAGGCCAGGCTGAGAGAGTTGGGATTGTTCAGCCTGGAGAAGAGAAGGCTGCGAGGAGACCTTATTGCAACCTTCCAGTACTTAAAGGGGGCCTACAGGAAAGATGGGGAGAATCTTTTTAGCAAGGCCTGTTGTGACAGGACAAGGAATAATGGATTTAAACTAAAGAAGGGTAGATTTAGACTAGACATAAGAAAGAAATTTTTTACAATGAGGGTGGTGAAGCACTGGAACAGGTTGCCCAGAGAGGTGGTGGAGGCCCCATCCCTGGAAACATTCCAGGTCAGGTTGGATGGGGCTCTGAGCAACCTGATCTGGTTAAAGCTGTCCCTGCTCACTGCAGGGGGGTTGGGCTAGATGATATCTAAAGGTCCCTTCCAACCCAAAGCATTCTATGATTCTATGTTCTATGAAAATTGTCTGTAACCTTGTCCACTGTCTGCAGAGTACCGTTATTTCCTATCTCTTGAAAGCTTTGTTAGCTTCTTTGTGTACAACTGGCCCTTGAAAGTCAACTGCATCTGTTATCACAGTTGCTTGACTATGTGTTTGTGTCTTGTGAGAATGAGGTCTAGCCATGCATGTAGAGTGCTGTGGAAAAGTCTGCAAGCCTCTCTCTTTTGGGATCAGCAGCTCCTCTGACCCAGGTGGACTCAAGCTCTATTAGGTGACTAAAATAGGCAAAACTCACAAGGTATCCCCTAAAGTAGCAGTGTATAAAAAGCCTGAAGAGCACACAGGAGCAGACTTTGGGCTGGGGGAGTTGCTGCATGGCAGGATTTCTATAGTTTGCGCTAACAGAGGAGAAGCACTTGAGGGATTTATTGGTGATAGCATCGCTGTGGTTCTGTCTCTGCAGATGCCAGGTCTAGAATATAAGGAGTACGTGTGCACTTTTCTACCAGAAACTACTTGCATATGAAATGGTGTCCTTCCTTCTGAGTAATGGTGTCTTGAATGCATTTTACAGTGATGGCCTGCGGTAGAGACTGTATTTCTGTCAGAGTGCATTAAAAGGTAATAAATGCTTGTGCAGTCCATACTTTGTGATTGCTAATCCTTATGAGGAAAGGACTGAGTGTCCATCTTTCCAAATGGTAACAAAAAAGAGGTTAGATGACTGACCCAGCACTTTTCAGGACATCCCTCTTTAGTTAGAAGACAAAAACGGTCATTTAAACAGTTATGAGGAACGGCTACCTCATGACTTGCTTTTCTCTGTAGCTTGTTGTGCAGGCTGTATGAATCTGTGCCTGAAATGTGGCATCTCACTATATGGTTTTACCCAGCTCTCTAGTAAGGTGCTTTTATTTAATTTGGATTCGTCTTCCCAGAAACTGTAGTGTTGGATGTGGTCCACTGCTTTTCTAATAGTCATCTACCTATTTATATAATGAGAAAAGCAGTCTAGAACATAGGGTTACTTTTTAATAGTACATGGTGGCTGTTGTATCACTTCATCCTTCCCTTTGTTACATATTTGTGCCTCTGTTTTTGTGAAGGTTGTACTCCTGTAAAAATTCCTGGCACTGCTGCACTCGGGTACATGTGTGCACTCAATATATTCTGCTCAGAATTTGGAGCTGGAAACAGAATTTGCCAGAGTGCCTCTAAGTGCATATTACAAACACTATGCAGGAGGTTCACCAAACCAAGCTGATATACACTTGCCTGCCAAAGCAGTTTTCTCAAAAGTCATAAAATGCAAGAAAATAAAACCTGAATCAAAACAGAATTTTTATTTATTTATCTATCTATTTTTACAGGATAACTACTAGTGTCCTTGCCAGTTTTCAGTCCCCTATGATGTGTGGTTCAAACAGCAGGCTGGTAACAAATTTTCCCCACAGAAGTGCAAATGTAAACCTGACCAGACTTTTAATATAGGTTGCTAGAGGGAATGAAAGAGGGCTCACACAAAAAGGGTTTGCAGCCTTGAGAATCTTTTGTTTGCTTCTTCTCACCACAATGGTCTTCGTTTTGTTCATTTGCTCCTGATTATTTTAAGCGTTGTCAATTATTTAGCTAACAGGCAGAAAACTAGGCTTTTATAGACATCCAAAGGGACTCTCTTGAGTGTAATAATGAAGGCAGTTTATTGAACGCCTCTGAGGTTGCTTTCTAATTGTACGCATTAATCT